TAATGCTAATGTATATGTCGATTGCCAACCTCGTAGATTAGATTGATGTCAGATGTACGCTCGTCAGCCCATTTTCATAGCGAATTGTACGATATAAGCGACTCAGTTTCAGTTTATTCGTTACAATATGTGCTTACCGCGTGAAAAAAAATTAATCCGATGTAAAAAAAAAAAAAAAAAAAAAAAAAAAAAAAATACGTACTTTTAAAACATTCTTTATATAAAACAATATTTATATCAATACTGTAAAATTAATTAAACGTGTTATTTGGACTTCTATGTGCAAATTCTATGTACAAATTAATGAAAAGATGGGCCTAAGTTGAAAAAATTCCAATTTTATTTTTAAGCAGTGTTGACACACGGAACAATAAATTATATACTTATGTGAGTACGTTATGGTATTCCCTATAATTAACTCGGCACTATTATATTGTAATATACTGTATCTATTTTTATCTGCTCGTATTTTTGTTATAAAAATGGCTTTAAACGTACAAAAGCCATTATTATATGATTAAAAATGTACGATTTTTCATGTCCAAAAACAACAAGAACAACAACTAACAGAATAAAAGAAGTAAGATACTTAAAAAATTCGATTACTTTGATTTATTTTTCGAATGATCTATGATAACCCTTCAACAAATTTGTATCCATTCAATTTATATCCATAATTCAGCCTGTTATTGAACTACATTTACAAACATGAAAAATATTGATCCATTTAATACATTGAATAATAGCATATAACGTTTAATTAGCGTGGAATGAGAACAATAAATGTTAGGTCTAAAAATATAATTATAAAATTTTCAATATAATATGACGCACTAAATTGACGCGTATTTGTCGCATTCGTTTTCTTGTTAAATAAATAATGTGTTTCCTCATCTTCGGAATTCTTCAAAATTTGTCAAATGATAATTTGAGATTTTGAAATACTAACAGATATCTTGACTTTTATTTCAATTAAATTACTCTTACACGCATCTTCTTTAACCTCGTTTCAATGCAATTATTCAATATTACATTTTCATAATAAGATAATCAATATAATTATCTTTTTCGCGAGTATTTCTTCCCAGTTTGCAGTTAGACAATGCGTACTTCATATGCAAAAGGTAATAACGAATATGCAAAGTACTCGTTATAATTTAATGGTAAGTAATTGTTCATCTGATAGTTTTGTATTCATAAATTTAAGTCATCGTAAAGTATGTTAAATTTTGATTTAATGTATAAATGAATAATTTAAGCAATCTGTTAAATATATATATATATATATTTATAAATATTTATAAATATAACAATGGGAAAGAATTGGGCATAGTAAGTTATTTTATTAGCCAAAAATGTTATTTTTAAAGCGTATCAGGTATTATAATAAAAATATTTATTGAAAGTGATTAGTTTTATGGATAATGGGATCAATAGGTATAAGTAATCATAAATAATCATAAAAAGATATTTCAACTGATGTACTTTGAAAAATCCACTTTATTATCAATTTATTTTTTAGCGATAATTTTTATAAAGGAGCTTCTGACTTCGAAATTCTTTGAAATAAAATATACATTGATAATTGTAACATATAATAAAAATTGTTTTATTAGTTAAAAGTGCTTTATCGACGAAATTGACATTTCATAAATTAAATAGAATAAATTCCCGTGAAAAAAAAAAAATTCATAATCTTCTGAATATTCTAAAATTAATAATATATTGATTAAAAATTTAATTTATCGAATTATATTAATAGAAAAATTAGTTATTTAAAATAGCACATTTATAAATAAATTTACATTATATTTATTATTTACTTTTATACTATTTGAAGCACATTATTTTCCTACAACGTGCATCTCACATCATAAGATGCCATTAATTATTTTAATGTCACTTATTGTCCATTGCATAAAAATATATTTTTTTTTGTATATTAGCTAAGCAACCAATTCAGAGTTGTTTAGAACCTTTTTTAGTCAAATGTAAAATAGCCTCTCGAGATAATACAATCACTTAAAAATTAATATAATCATAGATAGTAATTATAATGTAATTTTTCGATTTGATTATGATACCGACAATGTTAATTTTTACATATTTTAATATAAAAATTATATCCAAAATATTTATAATTTATGTAAATGTAATACAAAGGAATGGAGGATTGATTTTAATTCTATACTTTTACATAAATACTTGATAGTTAATTTAAAATAATTTAAGAATAAAGTATAAAAATGTATATCTAAAGATTTGAGGACACGCTATTTTTGTTTTTAGAAATAATAATTCAAAAAGGTGTAGAAATAAATCTTTTTCTCTTTTTGTCATTTGATATTTATATAGCAAATAACTATTTTGTACAAAACATTGATGCACAATTTTTTCTTTTTTTCTTTCATAGAATAGTGGGGATAAAGTACCGAATTATCCGTCTGGAAATTTAGATTATAAAATTTTTGAAAGAATTATTAAAAAATTTAGAACATCTAATTCGAATGAATATTTATGTTTATTTATAATATTAAAAGTTTAATCTATAATAGTTAGATAATGTGCAGAGTTATTGAAGAATTAACATTAAAATTTAAATGATAATTAAATGACATGTCGAATTCATATGTACAACTGTATTATAAATTTAAAAACTTGTTTAAATATAATATGATTTATGCAATTGTTTAATTATTTTGCATAAATCTTACAATTTTTACACTTCATATTTTGAATTATTATATGCGATTGGAACTGTAATATAAAATTGTTTCATATATATATTAAGAAATTTGGGAGTTGCATTAATTGTTTGATAAAAAAATCTCTGCCTTTCTTTATTTTGTTTATAATTTTTTTTTAATATACCATACGGCTATAAGATAACATAAGAAGCGCTATCTTTAAAGAAAAATCTGCCAATATTTTTCTTCGATTGGAGTTATGTACAGTCTATTGGTTGTAATTATATCGGACGGAGATAATGAAGGATTTTTCCAAAGAAAACTGATAGTTAATTTTTCATTGCGTCTGTAAAAAAATTTAATAATTTGATTTGTTACTTAATATAAGGACACCGTTATTTACAAACTAACGTATCAGCTGTATTATTATTAATGTATTCGTAAATTAATTAATGATAATTCTATAAAATAATTGGAAATATAGAAATAAAATTATTGTCCACGATAAAATCCAACAGTTGGGCAACAGTAGAGAGAGAACATTTTATAAATTCAACATTTATTATTATTTATTTTTATAAAACTAGGCTCTATTAAAAAAAGAAACTTTACATTCAATATAATCGATAATCTATGGTGTTTTTAGATTTTGTTATCCTAAAGTCTGTTTGGTTGAGCAATTTTTTCTGTTATATAATAGAAAATATATCTATCGAGAATTCCATGATGTTTGCGCATTGTGTTTTAGAGATCTATAAATTCTTATATTTCATAAGGTCAATTTTCGAAGGATTTAAAAATCTGAGAAGTAATTTTAAAAAATTCATTTTTATTAAAAATCATTTTGCTACAAATTATAAAATAAAAATAAAGATAAATTTTAAGCATTATTTTTAATCGTTTACACAATAAGTTTTCTTATTTGCTTTAATTGTAGCTCTTTTACTGAATTTTCATCGAGAGTAATATTATCTCAATTGTAAGTATTGCAGTGATTCTCATGTTAATTTTAAAAAAACACCATAACCATAATTATAACTTATCTATCAAAAAATTTTTTTAGTCTATTGTAATTCTTAATATATAATTAATGTACTTTGACATCGTTTTCAACAACAACAACAACAACAACAACAAATATGCATACCACAAAGATTTAAATGCCTAAATACACCTTAGAGATTAAGTAGTGAAAAAATTCAGTTGAAATTCCAATAATACGTAAAATAGTTAATTAAATATCGGCTACTGTCATTGTATGTGGAAAATCGGGTCGTATAAAGAAATATAAAAATATAGTTTTAAAGTCTTAAATTACCGATTTACAATAAAATACAAAAAAAAAAAAAAAAAAAAAAAAAAAAAAAAAAAAAAGGATAGGAAGAATAAGTCATAAAATAATAATACAAAAAAATTTTATCACAATTCATCGATTTGTAATCGTTTATTTATCTTAAATTACAGTATTCAATTTTTTTTTATCTGTTACTGCATGCTGTAAGAAGCTTTGAATCAACTAAATCGCCAGATCAAACAATTACATAATTTGACTTTATCCTCCATGAAACTGTCTCAAAATAGTTTAAATACGTCAACAGATATATATATATATATATATATATATATATATATATATATTGTTTTAATAATTTATGCTCATTAAAAACAACACGAAAATTGTATGCATTTAGTCTAGAATAATAAATAACGCTTTCATCAACAAATCGACTTTTATATCGATTGCTTTGGAACAAAACGAACGCACATTTTCGTTCTGGCGATATTAATTATTTATTATTGCATAGTGGAGTAAAAATTTAGGGTACTTTGAGATGTCAGAATAAGCATTTTGTGGCCATCGAATGCTATACTCTTCAAATAACAACATCAATTGCAAAAAAAATTAAAATAAAACTAAGAGAAGCGTTTAATTTCTTGGATGTTTGTTCGCGTATTAGCTTTTCTCCAGTCTTCATTTCGGCTTCAATAGAATAAGTTTCACAAGGACGAAAAGAAGTAATTTGCTATATGCAGATTTTAAGTCGTGAGCTTATTTTTGCAGTATTTGAAAAAAAATAGTATTCCCAATTCAAATGAATATTCGTTCTAATATTTCTAAGCATACATTAAATCAAAAACAATATACATATATTAATTTTCAAAAAAAGTTCCTTTCGAACGAATTCATCTTTTTAAATATTTGTACACTGTTCTTAATAAATATATTTATTACTATCAATATTTGAACAAATAATTTTCTAAATTTAATACAATTTTTAAGTATGAATTACATTTATTTCTACATTAAGGGAGGTGAGAATAACTTCATTAAATCTTACATTTTCTTTTAGTCTGTCTGTATTTGAAACATTGTGGGTAGTGGGTTTTCCCTAAGAGGCTCGCTCTATGCATACGAGTATTAGAGAACACGGAGGTAGAGCTCTACATTTACCTCGCGTTAATTAATTAAAATTACGCTAAATTGGAGCGTTTTCTTGCCCCCTACACATTACACATCGCAACAAGGGTGAGAAACGGAGGATTGCCATAACGAAGGAACGATCTATCTTTTCCATTTCCTTCTCTCTCTCTCTCTCTCTCTCTCTCTCTCTCTCCTTTACTTTTCTTCTATCATTCATCTCCTATATGCTTTTGCACTTCATTTTGACTCTTTGTTCATAAAACTTTATCGTCATTTCTTTCTTTTATTATTTTAAGGCTGATTCGTGGTGAAAAGGGTAACACCATTATTAGCCATATTGTCCAAAATGCCGCTAATATAGGCGGCTACGTCTATCGTTGCCTCCTCGGATTTTCTAATAAATGGATGCTCTAAAAGTTTATTGTACTTTGGACGCTGAGTTTCCTCTTTGATTAGACTGCAACAGATAATAAATTTAAGTAATGCCTATCCTACATACAAATATCACAAAATCGTTAGATTTTTCATTAAAAAAACTATTTTCAATATTAATTAATAAGATAGATGATGATGATAAATTTCTAGATTAACATTTCATAATTATTTAATAATAAATTTACCAATACTTTACGTATCGTCGTCATAATAATATATTGTGATTTAAACATTTTACCATGTATTAACGAAATTAACAAAATCCATTGTAAAATGATTTCCATTTTCATTAGGGGACAGCCTTGGTGGATCGCCTTGCACTACTTGATAGAGTTGCTCAAATACAGAATTCCATTTTGGATAAGGAAAGTACCCTGTTGCGACTTCCATCAGCGTTATACCAAGAGACCATACATCGCTTCTTACGTCGTAACCCCTTGCTCGCTGCGGATCTATTCTTTCAGGCTAAAAAAATCAGTTGGTTGCTCATCAATGAAAGTAAATTTATGAGCAATTAAGTATATATGAATAATTAATTCATAATAAATATAAAAAAGCTGTCAAAAATAATTGTACTAACAGCCATATATGGTCTGCAACCTGCATCACGCGTTCGTGCAATTGAATCAACCAATTGTCCAGATATACCGAAATCACAAAGTTTTATATTGCCCCGTCGATCTAGTAATATATTACTAGGCTTAACGTCTCGATGGATGATCCGTAATTTTTCTTTTAGATAATTCAGTGCTTTAACTGTAGCTACTGTGATTTTACCTAAGATACATTCGGGTATCCTCTCGTTTAATCTCTCGTAAATAAACTTGTAAAACTTGTCTAATGAAGTGTCCATTAATTCCATGCATATCCAACAGTCTCCCTTTAAATAAACAATGCAATTACTTGCTCGAATGGTCTTGTTATGTAAATTTTGAAATTTTGAAATAGCTTTGAGTAACATACTTCTTTAAATAAAGCCCCATAAAATTGCACGATGCAAGGACACTCGTTGGATTTCATGACAACTTCTAGATCCATTAATAATTGCTTTTGTTCCTTTTCGTCGACCGTCGAACGAATTCTCTGAAATTTAGAGTATTTTCATTAAATACGTAAATATATTTACAAACTATTGAGCAAATAATCAATGTATTTTTATGCTTTCTTAATAAAATCAATGATCTTTATCAATAATACTGACTAACTAACAATTAATATAAATATCATTTAATTCTTAAAATCCATTCATTTCATCGGCTGTCTATATTTCGACATTTATAATTAGCGTGTTACGAAGCTTTGCTTGCTCTAATTCTTAATTCTTCGTCTTTCGTTTAAGTATAAAACCTGACTTACCTTCACAGCCATAACAGTATTGCTTATCCTATGTATCATTTTATTTACAGTTCCGAAACCTCCTCTACCAATTTCCCCCAAGTCTTGAAGATCTTCACTCGTAAAGTCATACACCGTATCTGGAGTCAGTTGTAGTTTTCCAGTACTTTGCATTGACTGGCACATTTTAAATTTATCTCTACAAAAGTTATATTTATTTAATATGTGTATTATAATAATAAATACATCTATAGTTAAGCGTTACAGTATTAGTTGGAACTTATTCCATTTTTACCTTGCTTTATCAGGTAAAAATTCTTGTTGTGTTACAGCACGAGGTCTTGCAGGCAGCTTCGGTAAAGCTAAAGGCAAACTTGGGCGTATAACCCTATAAATAACGTTATTTTTAGTATTTTTCTGCAGAAAATTCGAACGCAATGTAATAAGTGCAAAATAAAAGCAAAAGAGTCAATGTAATTAATTATTAATCAAAACTTACGACATTGGTGGGCATGCTGATGCCATTGTCAAATTAGAAACAGAGGACGTTGTTGAATTAGAGTGTATCAAGTTTCCACTTGGAGCTTGAAAACTCAGTTTTAATTGTCTTCGCTTTTCCGCTAATATGAAAATGATAATAATTATTATATAAATCATTTTTATATATAATATTTTATATACAAACAACATACCAGATATATCATTTTGAATATCAGTGTTAGTTCTAAGATCCAAACATGGAAAATTAAATGGCCTGCTGCTGGTACCTAAAATCAAATAATTTAGGAAATCTGTATTAATAGCTCGTTGACTATTATCATCTATGTGTTAAATAAGTAGAAGATTAATTTTAAATGATTTTAAAATTGTCAAACAAGTGCGTAATGAATAAGTATTTATGATTTTACAATAAAATTTTTTTTTTGGTTTTTTTTTTATTTTTAAATCGCTTAAAAATTATATTAATGATGAAAAAGTCTTATACAATCTGTTTCAATTTATATTCATTATAATGTAACATAATATGTATCTCAAATTACAAAAATTAATTCGATTATTAATCAATTAATCAATTTAAATTTCATATTAATTAAAGAAATTTTAGCCTTACAGACAATAAATTATATTTGAATAAAAAGTGCTACGAAAAAACATTTTCAATTTCTTAAGATAAGTATTTGATATTTTGAAATACTTCTTTCGATTCAATAGTTAATATAATTCTATAATTACTCGTATTATTATTGGATAAATGAAGTTGCCAAGCAAAAACACTAGATAATAATTGCGATTTTTTAAATTTCACATTTAAATGTCACATTATCGCATGATAAATGCTGAAAATGATCAAGTATTCCATCATAGGCAAAACTTGTACTCTCAAGCATAAATGAAAAGTGAGTTATTGACTCTGAATATTTTATCCAATGGTATTTACGAACAAGCAAAGTCTCCTGATACATTTACTCTTGTCACCACCAAATACATCCGTTAAGACACGGTCCAATTCATTTTTTATCCAAGCGAGCAATCCAATTAAAAAAGGAATGTTAAATCAAGGATTATAATCGTAGATTTGTCGATAAAGTCGATAAAAACTGAAATATTTATGGAGCTTCTGTCCAGGCGAGGCCAAATAACAAATTAAAGTTCTAAAGTACATCGGGTACTTTACTTTAATAAATTGTAAACAATGACACTAAGCGCCATTAAGGGTAGGAGACGTTGTTTTCCAATATTGCGCAACGCGCTTTAAGCACAGACAGCACACTTGGCCCGTAAGAACGCAATCGGAAAATGCAAATGATTAGGATGCAAATGATGCTGAGCCCTAAAGGATTGTAAAAGTAAAAAGTTTGACTACGAAGCACCGAGTCGGTGAGTGCGGGCGTTCTAGGTTAGGTTAAGGAGGTCGTCCAGTTGTAAAAGGTCAACCGTGGAGAGAAGAGAAAGGAGAGCAGTCCGAGATCCCATCGGAGCCAACTTGCCAATGCCAAAGAGTCGGAGAAATGCGAGATGGTGGATGGTGGGACGGGTTGGGGAGGGATAGAGCGACGTACCTTGGCCGGCCTGCTCTAACGAGCTGAACGAATTGTCCTGATTCTCAGCCATGGCCGCCTTGGGCTCCGTCGGCCCTCTCCGGGCAGTGCACAAGGGGCAGGGCGCACGACCACCTCAGCTAGATAGCTCCAAGGAAGCCAGTGTCACGCACCCCGTCAGCCCCCTCGGCTCTTAGGATCCCATGCAACGGCAGCCCGTCGACGTAGCGGCGCTCGCAGTCAGCCCAGCGCAGGCACTCTGCGTCGAGGACATAATTTCCTCTTCGTTGTTATTTCTACGTGCCCTCCCTCGTTTACCGCGGACCACCACCGCCTCGAGGGAGATGCGCGCGGTGCTGCGGTCGGGGAGGCGAATCCCGACGCCTGGTGCTCCGTCGTTCCTTTGTGCTCCTTAATAGTACCTGGACACGGCACTCGGCCTGCACCTGCCCGGATAGACTCCGAGCACGATTAACTCGCGGCGCGGAAGCAACGTCCGCGGAGTCGTGTGCGGATTCCGTGGGAAACTCAACGTGATCGCGGCCCTGATGAATCGTCATGCATCCGCCTGCGTGCCCGATCCTCTATATCGAGAGTATTCCCTCGATTTTCCGCGACGAGCAGCGATGATTGTGCCACACACATGTACGTGCCGTAGGCGCATGCGCGTGTCCCGGGGGTCTTCTGCTACGTGTTAGCCGATGCGACTTGCTGAGTTGGGAAGCCGTTGGGAAGGAGCTTTTTTGGTGGCAAAGCGAACGATGATATTACCTCCGTGTCCATGATAAATGTCATTGCGCGCAAATGGCAAATGAATGAATGCGGATAAAAAAGTGCACGCGCCCTGACCCCCCTTGATCATTCTCGATCATATATGTATTTCAAATGCAAATTACGAAATGTCGTAAAACTTTGATGTTTGCTACCAGTAGTTACTTATGTATAATAAATAAAGGTGGAAGATGCACATTTAGTTGCTGTTAGCCTATCGATGTGTTAATTATATAATAAAATTTAATTCAATTAGTTGCTTCAAATATGTAAATACAAAAAATTTCAAATACAAATAAGTATGTTCAATAAGTACTAAGCATACACACACCTGCATATAAAAATTTGTATGCATATATATATACGAATATACGTATATAAATTTAACACATCAACATTTTCAAATTTTATTAAAATCCATATATACTCAAGAAATTCATTATCTTGAGTAAATATATAATATAATATTTAAAATCCCTAAGGCATTAAGATGTATATTTCTTTTGGATATCTCAAAATATCTCCATTGTTGCTCTTTCCCACTTTTCCAAAAGAAGTTGCAATTATATTTTATAACAATATTAACTTTCTAAGTACAGCTTTATTTAAGCCGCCGTTGTCGAATCGTCCAAGCTTTTCAATTTTATATTTTATAAACATTAGCTTTTACATAATAATTTCGACATTATAATTTAAAAATCATTATAAATCGCGGGCTCTAACTGAAAATAATGGAACACTTTTAAGAATATTGCAAATGATTGAATTCGGTATAGCTGTATAACCAACAAAAAAGTATTTCTAAATTTATCTAAAACTGTATAGAATATATATTTTATGCAAAAATTAATTTAATTAAAATTTATTGTTCGTTGCTTTTGTTGGTGTATATTTGCGTATAAACACGAGTTTAGTCATTTATATGTAAATGCAGGTATATACATTTTCAGATATAAATGAAAGTTATGATTCATAATTAAATTCTATAACTTTCAATCCTTTTATAAACAATAATAAAAGATAAACAAATAACTTTCATACTTTTGTTCCCATAAGTTGTATAGGTTATTTACCCGCTATAGAATATATGTGACATGAGAATCATTGGTTGTGCCTAATATGCATTAAGTTTTATTTATATTATTGTATATATTACATTTCTAGTTTATTGGTTCTTTAAAATGATACCACTACGTTTTCTTCGAACTCAGTTTTCCAATTTAATGAATATCGAGTCTTTTTTCAGGTAATCATATAGTCATTATCAAATGACTATTACAAATATTAATTATAAATATGAATTAATAATTATAAAAATTATTATACAATAAAATATTATAAATAGTATGATGTAACGCTCTTACCCATTTCATTTCAATTGTTTTTAATTGCAGATCAAAAGAATCTATAAGATGTTACAGCGTTTTTCCTAAGCATTATACTAAACCCATATTTCGAAAAGAAGAACAAGACGAACTTGTAACAAATGAAAAATTTCAAGCTGCCACATATTTGTCTTTCAAACCAGCATGTATAGATGAAACCTCTTCTGAATTTTATGATCCATTAGTCTCGTACGCTGATCATTCTTATAAATTATAAATTATAAATTTGTAGTATTGTAGTATGTAATACTAAAGTATTAATCTTATGTTTTTAGAAAATTTATAAATTATTTAATAAAACAAGGGAAAAAATCAAGTGCTAGATATTTACTAGAAAGAGCCTTTCTAAGTATAAAAATGATACAGTTACAAGCTTATAATTCTTGTGATTCCAATGATAAAGAAAAAATTGAATTAGATCCAAAAGTAATTTTAAGAAATGCCGTAGAAAATGCAAAACCTGTGATGGAATTGACTCAAATAAAACGAGCTGGACAAGTATATAAGGTAAGTTTTTTAAACCAAATATTTAACTTATATTTTATCTTTGAAGTTTTAGAAAATTTGAAACAGATAACAAAAATTGAAAATTTTTTAAACGTTTTAATTTTATTTGTTATATTTAGAATTATTATGCAAATTTTTATTAAATATTTTTAAATCCTAGTGAAATATTTTTGTCATCATTCCTTATATTCTTCTTTCCTTCAGGTTCCAATACCAATTGATAGTAGAAGATCAAGGCTTTTAGCTATTAGATGGTTAATACAAGCTGCAAAAGAGAAAACGAGAACAGATTTTTTGTATGATCGACTTGCTCATGAATTAATTCAAGCACATAATAATCAGGTAAACTATACTTTAATTGTTAGTATATAATGAATTTTTTGAGAAAATACAAATTTTTTTTTTGTTTCAGGGACGTACAATCAAGAAAAAGCAAGAATTATATAAGCAATGTCAAGCAAATAAATCTTATGCCCATTTCCGCTGGTAATATACAAAAATATGAATTTGTAAAATATAGATTTTATTAAATATAATGTTACTTTATAAAAGTTGTTCAACTAATTTCTGTAAACTGAGATTTCTCCTTTCATTTTAATATTAATTTTAAGTAATTGAAAGAATATTAATTATTAAATCTCTATTAATTTGGTAAAATAATTTTTCGTTAAAGCTTCATTGAAACAGTATAAAATTAAAGAATAATATAATTAAATTATACCTGTTGAAATAAGTTTTTTATTCAAAATTATTGAAAAAAAATTATAAAAGTTTTATTATGAATTAATTAAATAATGTTTATAGATGTGTGTATAGATACGAAGCAAAATAAAGATTTACCGATGAATATTCTACAAATTTAAAATCTATTTAAAATTTATAAATAAATATGGTCATTAAAAAATCTTAATTTAATAAATATTTTATTGTATACATTCCAATTCAACATAAAGTTGACACAAATTTTTAATGAAATTTCTTCATAGGGATTATAATTTTCTATTCGATCTACACTGAGAAATTAAATATTCATGATTACAATAGAATATAATTAATGAAATAATTGATGTATATGACAAAAATTTTACATTTTCGATGTTCTAATACTCTTTATTTGTATTTTAAATTGATAATTCCACGTTAGAATTTGTTAACTAATGTAAAGATTTTTTATTCTTTTTCTTTTCTAAGGATTTTTCTTTTGTCTAAAATTTATTCATCGAATATCTATTATTGCTGTATCACATTGAGAAAATATTTATAAAAGAAGATTAATCCGAGTGTTATAAGAGTTAAATTTGATGACTAAATTTTCATAGAATAGATAAATTAATTTATTATATTTAATTGATCTGAATTTTTTTGTTTTTATTTTGTTTTTTTTTTGTTTTGTTTTCTTTTTTAATACAGTTCTTATGAATATTCTCAGCAAACTACATAAATAATATATACGTATTATAAAATAATTATGATAATTAATAAATAACAATTGTTTAAAATACGATGTTTTGACTATATAATGTAGTGCGATTTATATGCATACAAATAAACAAGTTGACCGAATAAGTGAGAATAAATGAATTGAATGAAAATCTACAATTATAAATTAGTTTATTACTCATTTAAATATTAGCTAAGATAATAGAATATTAAAAACAAAAACAAAAACGGTAGTTTTTATGTTCTAATAAATCTACGTTATAATTAAAGCCAATAAAAATACTCCTTAAAATGGAAAAACATTCGCTTTTAATTATACATTTTATACGATAAAAAATAAATTTATGAAATTGTGTTTCATTACTAGCACATTACTAGCCATAGCCATGGCCGAGATACTGTCAAATTGTATTAATGTACAAGTTTGTCTTCTCTCTGAACTTTCATTCGTTAACGAGAACCTCATCAGACAATTCTACATTTCTATAAAACGTCTCATCCTTTACATTCATGGTATTGGGGGTATGTCAAGTAACTCAGACACAAAGTGTTGTGTCACTCACTCTCCACTCAATCCACTCGAAAGCGATAGTCATCATACAGGCTCACAGTCTTAAGGCATTAACATCGGTAATTCCTTTCTTTGAACAAACTCCACATGATTGGCCACATTTGAGAAACTTAACATTGGCCGATCCACAATATCTTACACCTGGATCAGTAGGTATCATTCATTATACATCCTGGAGCAGACATGTATGGTCAGATCATCAAGCCTCACGTCATCACCCATTCCCTATCAATGACAATGGCGCAACTATCCATTTTTGAATGGCTCGTGCTAGGACCTGTCAATTCCATAAGGACTTCGAAGTTCACAGCACACCATATATCAAAACAGAATGAAGGAGAATACATTAGAAGAATTACTGGTGAAGTATTGGGTCCAGGAAGAAGAACAATCAAGCGACGCTCACAAAGCATACACCTGAACAACAGTAGTGCGAAGAGCACTTCCAGAGTACTCACCCGCGTGATTCAACTGGGCGGCACATCGTTCAGATTCCTCTAAACACATCTGTCAAGGGCCTCGGTAATACACTCAACACTGCCCGTCGCTGCTTACAGAATCTATTAAGAAAATTTTCGAGAGACAAGGAATATCATCGTCAGTATCAACAATTCATGAAGGAATACGAGGATCTTAACTACATGTCGAAGGCTTCACTGTCCAAGCGTCAAATTCAATATTATCTGCCAATTTCTATATTATTTTATATATTCTATATTGTTCACTACTTTATTTTATATCTATTATTCTATTGTAATATATATATATATATATATATATATATTATTTCTCAGAAAACATAGATATTTGTAGATTTTATAATTTATATACCTAATGTCTATGTAATAGAAAATGGCCTAGAAAATGGTCTTTTCATAAATATTGTAATGAATAATTGTAGTGTAAGTATTCACATATGATGCAAAATGTAGATGATACAACCCATTTAATAAGGCGCTTCATTACTTTCTCAATTATTTATAATAAAATTTCAATTTTGTAATTTACATTGTTATAGTTTAATTTTTTATTAAAATAGATTTATATTACATTACATATTACATTTCAGATGAAATAATATCTTTTAAAATGAAAACATAAATATTTTTTCAATTATTTAGTTTATATTGTTTTGAAACTATTATTCTATTGTATTATTCTTTTCATTATCTGATATATAGTTTTCTCGATTATTAAAATGAAATTATTATTATTATTATTAGTAGTAGGAGTAAATTTAATTAAATAGTATATATTATTGTTATTACATATTTACAATTGATAGAAATATACACGAATAACATTTTTATCTAATTTTCAATCATTCTGATTATGTATACATACAGAAATCTAAAATAAAATAGCTCTTTTAAGCATTTTTTATAATTTTATGTTTCATTTTTAGTATTGTAACATTTATATTATCGCTATTAATGTAATGTAGTTGTCATATACATGTTTCTCTCTCTCTCTCTCTCTCTCTCTCTCTCTCTCTGTATATATATATATATATATATATATATATATATATATATATATGTGTGTGTGTGTGTGTGTGTGTGTGTGTATGTGTAATACAAATACAAAAATAAATTATATAATGTATAATTATTGATGATAGAAAAAAATAAGGTTTTCTACTTAAAATGTCATTATTGTTTAATATTTTCATTCATTATTTCTTTATGGCTAGCTATGAAGTTATTAAGATCCTTTTACACAAAAATATAATATTTTGGTATGAAAAATATTTCTTTCGTCGAAATTATTAAAATATTTATTTATATGTATCTAACAATTAATTTAAGACTGTAGGTGAAATGATTATATAAAATAAAAATTTTTAAAATCCATAAAGAACGAATTTTTCAAATGTAATTGTTGAACGTGGTAAATTACTCAAGAATTGATAATTAATTTTTAATGAATTGATACTCAAAAATTGATAACAGAGTTGATGAAATCGAGGTGTTTAAAAATGTTGCTATGCCTATCAGGTTCATCTGAAATCCATGGAAAACCATAGGAAATAATACCAACTAGTTTCCCATCTCCAACTACTGGACCACCGCTGTCGCCCTATTAAAATTTATAATATTATTAAATATATTATTTTTAATGAAGTACATTTATGAAAAACTTTATAATATTTGTATCTTTCACGTATATAGGCATTAGTTATTAGATAAAAATTAGACTTTCATGAAAATTTTTTTAATAATTTCTTTTACAAAGATATTGAAGCTTTTAGTAAAATATGCTTTCTCTAAGAGACTTAATTTCTTATTTTTATTTTTTACTACGAAGTAAACAATATTCCTCTTAATACTATAAATATAAGTTTTAATAGTTAATTCAAAGCATTAATATTATTTATAATCTTATTTATAAAAAAAAAAAAAAAAAAAAAAAAAAAAAAAAAAAAAAAAAAAAAAGAGAGAGAGAGAAAAAAATCCGATTATACTCACATGTATCGCTCTTTTTTCGTGGTCAAATGTGCAAATTTGGTCTTCGCTAGCAAGAATTTGGCAGTTGACTACCGTAACCTTAGCTTTTTGTAATACGTTGGAGAATTGTGTGGGTGGATATGAAGTCGCACCCCATCCACATAATATAACACTACTTCCTCTTGTAATATCTTGCGTTGGGAGATCTATTTTATTTATTTGTTGATTAAAAATAATAAATCCTCTAACCTAAAGAGTTAAAAGTAAATATGAAATATTATAATTATTTTAACGTAATATTGTTAGCAGTACTATTCAATCATAATATTTCGTAAAATTGAATCGAATGATTTATGCAAATAAAATCTTTCACCTTAGCACACTTATAAAACATTGCTTTATAATATATTAAAAGTAAAAGTACATTGTGTAATCTCTAAATGTTATAGTTTGATATTTTTATACTTTCTTTTATTATTCTGTAAAAAGCAATTTTACAATTTCTATATGAATATAAAATATTCGTTATGAAATGTAATAAGGAACTCTTATCGTCCATTGATGGCAAAAAATTTATTAAACATTTATAAGAACGTCACAAACGTATGCATAGCGTCTAAATAAAATATTAAATTCAATAATCATCCAGAATAATTGTTTAACTCACAGCAAGAACAGCAATATCGTTATGTTCCGGTTGCGATCCAATAGTTAAACCTTCAAATTCTGGATGTAGATACATTTCTTGTACGTAATATGATGTGCCCTCATTATCCGATAATTTTTGACTGCCCGCAATAATCCAAATATCCGTTTTACCATTATCTAATTGAAAGATACAATGAGCCGCCGTAAGTATATGTTTATTGCTGATTATGGAACCGGCACAAAAGAAACGATTTACTGAAAAAAGTCGTAGTTGGACAATAAAGGAAAACTCGCTTATACTAGCGACTTCACTGCCCTGAAGCCTCACACTTTTAGTCGTAGCGCCTGAAATATAGAATATTGTTGTTAAAAAGCTAGGGTTAGCAGAAATAAACAAATTTACGTTTGACCTCATGAGATCTGACTGATAAAGCCTAATGAAATATCAAGGTTTTTATATAAATACGTAAGATAAAGTAAGTAAATATCAAAATCATATAAAAATAATATAAAATAGAGAATGTAATATTAATTTAAATATATTTATTTTATCGAGATAAAACATAAAATCAAATTTCATACAGAAATGAGAGTTCTAATCCTCTAATCAATGGTTACTTTGGTATTATATTTTTATGAATACGACTCACTGGAAATTAGTATTGCACAAAAGAAAGTCAAACATAGATTTTTCATTTCCGTATTTCTAACTGAATTATTCGAACTAAAACTAATCATTTGCTTTTATATATAAAGGAATCAAATGAACAAAAAAATAAATAAAAAAAAAAAAAAAAAGAAAAAAAAAACAACAAACATTTTATTTAAATATTTATTTCCATTTTCTGTATTATTAAAGTATTGTTCACAAAAATCGAAATGTACGCAAGAATAAATAAAAAATAGATATCATTAAGTGACATATAATAGACTTGTATTTACAATTATATTTAATTCAAATGAATATAAAAACAAACTTCAAAATCTTACTGGCCTACGTGATTAAATTCAGATAATTATATGCTAATTATTAAAAAATATCAAATTAAAAAATTTTTATCCTTCAAGTCGATTTTAAAAGAATTATTGAATGGCATCAACGTTGAAATATTGTTTTAATTCTTTTAATTAATAATTTATTTATTTCCATATTAGTACTATGATATTTTATGTCATAATATATAAAAACGAGTAACATCTGATACTTTAGGAAAATTAATTATTATTATTCATACTATTTTTAAAGATTATTAATATTGACAGTGTACTAATTCAAGTAACATATCTAAAATAAATTAATAATTATTTAAACGATAGTTAAAAAAAAATTTAATTATGTATCATACTTTTCATTAAATACGCAAATATTTCATAACTTACAATAGTAATAAGAAATATATTCGAAATAACACAATGATATAGTTAAAACAAAATATATATATATATATATATATATATATATAAATAAATAATTAAAAATTAATTATGAAAGTAGTATAATTAATGTTCAATAAATAGTATAATTGAATTGATATTTCACGATTCATTATAACTGCCACGTTTATAGTATAATAATAAAAGGCAATATAAGACATTAGAATAACAATTGTCTTATATTTATAATAATCTATAATAAAATGAATGGACAATGGGAAAAGTAGTAGAAATTTCATTAAATAAAATGTATTCTTAAAAATATGGGCATTCAAATTTAATTTAATTTTTAATTATTTATCCAATAACGATACGATAATATAAAATTTATGATTTATTAAACACTTGTACAAATGTAGATAATAACATCGAAACCTGACCAAATAAAACGAATTATATATACACATTTATAAAAAAAAAAAGAAAAAAAAAGAAAAGTTTCAGCAATAATTAAGAGTAATTATTTATATGTTTAATAGAATAATTTTTTAGACCCTTAAAAATCATATACAGTAATAAATTTGCAGGATTTCTTAGCAATAGCAATATAATTAGCAATTATTACGTTAAAAATAAAATATATAATTATTCAAAATTATTGCCTATGTTCTTTACATAATAACATGCATTATCATATTTCGATATTTCGGTAAATATAAATATTGATTAAAAAATAATATAAATAAAAATTTTTTTCTACACTATCAATTTGCCTGAACAACCAAACGACGAAGGGAGTTATAAATAAAAATTCAAAAAAACAATTAAATTATTTTGAGAATTTTATTTTTAAAATAATTTGAATATTTATACAGTTATATTACACGTTTTTTATTACATCGCTGGCTAAGTCACATGTAGAAAAAATAAAACAATTTAATGAATTTACCACGTAAACAAGTAATAAATATATATAAATTCGAATGGCGATACAATATTTTAATCTATCGTTTGTTATCATATTTTTATTTCACAAATTATTTTTACATTAACTAAAAATTACCTTTCAATCATTTTTAAAACACTGTCATATTATATAAGATATAAATTTTTTTATGTAACAATATAATTATTTATAATTACATAACATTTAAAAATTTTCTTATTATTTAATGTGGAAGGCTATTGCATTCATAAAAGATTTTATCTTTATTATTGTTTACAATAATAAGAAATATTGTTTGCACAAAATTTATTTGAATTATGTATATTTAAATGTACAATGGGAAATTATACAAAACCATGAAATTTTGACAATTTTACAATAAACAGAGAGATAAGGGATTACTACATCAGAGTACTAACATAAAACATTTGTAACCGTTCATGTTGGTGTTCGACGTTGCTTTAAATGCTTTTTATGCAATAAAATCGGTGTCTGTTCAAGCCCTTGCGATAGCGAAATTCTTCTTTTCTTTTTTTTCTTTTTTTCTTTTTTTTTTCTTTTTCTTTTTTCTTTTTTTAACTATACTGTCATCTCGAGAAATCACAGAGGCGATTTAAAACTTCGTATATTCTATGCGTGGCGTACTAAACAAGTTGGTAAAAAAAAAAAATATTTAGTTTTGAGTTGAATTTGCAAAGTCGTAGGAAATTTTCAAGTTTCGAACTAGTATGCACGTTTATGTGTTGCGAAATCTATTCGAGTTAAATGAGTACATGGACTTTTCACAACAATATGATAGTTTAAAAGTTTTCGTGACTTTAGTTTTATAATAAATAAGAACTTGTTTCGTAAGAACAGTGCTTCGTCGCAATATTAAAAAAAAAAAAAAAAAATGTCTTATCAGACAGATACATTAAAAGCCTAAGGTGACCCATATGCAGAATGGAAACGAACTATTTGATTTAATATATGCTTAACTAATAATAAATTGTGTTTGTAATCAAATATTTATTAAGTTTCATAATATAAATTACTTTGACATATAGCGTCAACAATATTATCGATCAATCAAATTTATTCTCGATTATCTCAAATAATAGTATGTTAAATTGTGTTCCGAGTAATTAAACTAATTGCCGTTTGAAAAATAATTATGTTAATAAAATTTATTCAAAATATTTCAATGTACTTTTCACTCAAATGTTAAAAAACATGTTTATACGATTAACGTAAATATTGGTAATTATTATGTAAACATTATACCAAAGCAATTTGTCGATCATTAGCTTTGATATTGTTATCCTTTTATTTTCTATGTACGTTATTACTTACACGTTTTATTCATCTTCATTATTTAATGTTAAGCTTATGCTTAGTTTACCTGCTTAAAGTTTTACTTAGTAATATAACTTGTTAGCTTAGCTCTGTTATCATTAAAATTTCCTTTAATTCTTATTCTTTATTTTTGTTATCTTCATTGTCCGAATGTCAATGTCAGCACGCTTTATATGATTACGTAAAGACACATTTGTCAATTATTGTTCAATTTGTTTAAATCATCGATGTTGATAATTTGACAATTTGCAATAATCGTTAATTTAATTGAGAAAGTATCGATCTACTATTGGCAATGATTTGTTGAGATGACGTTGAAAATAAATTTTTTTAATTAACTGACCCATTATGCAATCACAAATTCATTTCTTGCGCCAACTCCGAGCCATTTGAATCGAATTACAAATTTTGTACACATTGCTAGCTCTAGCACCTAACATAACCTTTAAAATCATATTCTACAATCATTTTCCAATTTTACGCAGACTGCATGATTGAATAAATGGATATATATTTTTATTAATTTGTGGACGGATAAATAATTGTATATTGTTAAAAATGTTATTGCGTACGTTTTTATGCATAAGCCATCGTTTGTGTAAGTGAAATTTTATGCGTTGTTACCGACTATTTTTATTTTACAAATTATACTTTATTAATATTATTTATACTCCACAAGGTTCTCAAAATGGTATTAATAAACTGGGAATTACAGTACAAGCGGCTGGACTAAAACATTTTGTTATTCCTGAAAAATATAGTAAGTTAAAATAATCACAAGTAATTAATTTATTAATTTCATTAAGGATTTATTTCGTTCACTTTTGTCGTCATATTTACACTTACTAATTAATTGTCAACGATAATAAAAATCCGAACGATAACAAAATACAAAATATTTTTTATTCAACAGACTATGAATTGCCACCTGATAATAAAGGAAAACGTCTGCCAATACTTCCGAAAGTACCGCTTTATCCAAGTAATTTGAAGCCTTTTAAAATGCAAAAAAAGCTCAGACTTATGAGGGGACCCGAATTAGTTCATAACAAACTTTTACATAAGCAATTTGGAGTTATAGTAGGTTCAACTATTTATTATGTATATACACGCACGCACGCACGCACGCACGCACGCACACACACACCCATGTGTATGCATATGTATATATTATATTTAATTTATTTTGCTTTGATTGTAAATGTAGGCATTATCGGGTGGAAGATTGAAATATGGGCATTTTGAAATGGTACGTTGGACATGCGTGAGAAAATTACCAGAGAAGGCTTCGGTAATATGGCGAGTCCCAGCTCCATGGCAACCTGTTACAGCTAAGGTATATTCCAATTTTCAATCCTAACAATCAATAACTAATGAATACTTATTAATATATATATTTAATAGAATAATATAATAAGATTCATATTTATTTTTGTATTTATGTATTGCTTATAGACAGCTGGTCAACGAATGGGTGGAGGCAAAGGCGCTATCAGCCACTACGTTACACCTATTAAAAATCAAAGAGTAATTATTGAAGCATTTGGACCAATTGAATTTATAGAGGTAATCTTCATTTACTAAGGAAAAATAATTTAAAAGATTTTTTTTACCTAATTTCTGCATCATTTTATTAGGTACAGAAGGTGTTAAAGGAAATAGCGGATAAATTACCTTTTAAAGCAATAGCAATCACACAAGCTAAATTAGATCAAATTCACGATGACGAAAAGTATGTCGAGGAGAATAATGAAAATCCATGGACCTTGAAATATATTATTCAAAATAATTTGGGAGGATGCGATAAATGGATTAGACCTATTGACAAATATTGGTTTGGTAAATACAGGTAGTTTTATAATTTTAACTTAATTGTGTAATTAAAAATGAAGAATAAAATTTTGAAAAAGAAAATGTAATAAATTATTAAATTCACAATTAACTAATTAAGAATCTCCCAATTTTTTTATTTTACTGAATTTGTGTTCCGCTTAAACAATATTTTAATATATTTAATATATAAAATTTGCATTTATACATTCATTTGCAGCTATTTTTCAGAAATATATTTAAAGTATAAAAAAAGGTATTTAATTTTTACTCGACAGGTATAGAAAGAAAAAAAAAAAAATTCCTTAAATTACATATATATTATTTAAAAAAGCATGTTTTTTTTTTGTAAACGAATGTACTTATTTTATTCCTATTTAAATATGGGTGTGTTTGGCTTTGCGAGTGCATATATATCTACTTTATTACCTAATTGGAAATTATTCAAAATAATTATAAAATTACTATGTAAATTATCTAATTTGATAAGATTTATATTATTTGCTAAAAGCCAATAATGTATTTAGAATTTATAAATACAGAAGCTACAAATACCAGAATATATATTTGAAACAGCTTGATTAAAGAACATAAGCATTAACTATTTCGATTATACAGTCAATCGAATCAAATTCTATAATTGACAATTTTAAATTAAAAAGAATCACAGTACAGTAACAAGGTAGGGTAAGAAAAAATTAAAACTTTATATGATACAATGACAATATTTTATATATCTTTGACGACGGTTCGGTGGTAACAACAGGTAAATACTACATATTGTACATTGAGTAGGCAATAGTTGTATCTTAATAATTAGTGACGATTTTAGCGACAATAACAGCGACGACGACGACGACGACGACGACGACGACGACGACGACGACGATGACGACGACGACGACGACGACAACGACGACGATTACGACAAATTTGAAGAGCGATGGGCGACATGTAATATATGTTTGTTTCCTTTTACATATTTAAATATGGCGCAACGACAGCGATGATCAATGATAGATAGATAAGGATTATCAAATAATATTATTCAAGGATGACATCGATTTATCAAAGGACTTTAAAAAGTAATTATGGGGGAAAGGAGAGAAAACAGCACTGTAGTCATCGTCGCTGCTCTTGACATTATTTTTTTTTTTTTATTTTTTATTTTTTTTTTTTTTTATTTCCGGCGCATTGTAATAGCATATCAATAATTGCTGTTTTGGATTCGCTTATTTTTCTTTATTTCTTTATTTCATTATTTCATTATTTATTTTGTTCTCGCTTAATGTTATTAGGTATAACGCGCGACTGGTCGCGTCGAAGGAATGATTAAATTAGTCTTCTCATTTTGTTTATTATCGTCCCTCTCGAGTCTCATCCCTCGATATGCTCGTATTTCTTAAAATTACTTTCTCATCCTTTTCTGCATTCAAGGATAGAGCGCTGATACAAGAACGTGGGAAAATTCGTACGCGACCTCTTTAACTGCTTTAATTTTCTTTTTTATAACGAGCGACCCTTTTTTTTCTTTAAATAAGATTGTTTGTCCCCTTTTTTGTTCGATAATTTAAACGATCACTTTTGAAATGAATTCGTTTCTTTTCATTTAAACGTATTATATTGCATTAGAATGTTTTAAAGTATTAATTTTCAAAAGTTTCCTTTAACATTATAATAAAAAAAAAATAAAATAAGTGAATTTGTTTCAAGAAAGAGATCGTAGACAATTTTTCAAGCAAAAAAGGAAGAAACGTAACGTGGCATGGTTGTAAGGGCCGGAAAATGGAGCTACTTTAACTGAAGACTATTACACTTGCCAAAATATTTTTATCGGTAAAAAAGAAACAAAAACAAACAAACAACAAAAAATTTACATACGTCGTCGCTACTTAAATTCATGTAACGATATGTCTTATTTTCACTTTTTCAGGATATAATAGAAGGCTCTTGTTAATACATGCTGCGCCTACGCAGTGGTATTATCAATTTTTTTCTTTTTTTTCTTTCATCTAATTGCCAATGGAAAATATTTTCTCTTCACATAAGCGCAAAAGTACAATTGTTATCAAGGATCATACCGTAGAATGAAATTAAATTCGATATATATATATATATATATATATATATATATATATTTTTAAAATATACTTCTTACATAATAAGTTGGTCAATCAAATGATTCAACAGAAAAATATTTACAATTCATATAGCTTTTCCTTAACTTTTATAAAAATATATTTTGACCAATTTAGCATTCACTAAAATTTGGTATTATCAAGCTATTCCTTTTTTCCTTTGCTGTTGTCATACGAATAACAATAATATAAGATATGAAATAAACAAAATGAAGTATCTCAGTTTCTAGATTTCAATGTACGGTAAGCCCTCAAGTCATATTAATGGTAATGAATATCGGTTAATGTATATAAAATTGTATATTTCTTTTTATCTGATAAAAAATAATTTCGAAATTTCATCAATTATAATTATCTAATTAGACGTGAACGCATTAAAGTAATTTATAGAAGGTCGCGGTACGTACAAATAGGCGATAGGAGAACTTATTCTCATCTCATATATATATATATATATATATATATATATATATATATATATATATATATATATATGTATACGTACACATACATATACATTTGCGTATATATTTATATATAAGGAGCTGTCGTACAACTCTTTACGATTAGCGAAAACATAAAGATGCGTGCTACAACGACACTGCGATCTACAATATGATTATTTCATTGATTTTTAATTATATTTTCTTATTATTTCTTTCTTTCTTTCTTAAACTCCACATTATTATTACTGTATGAGTATGAAATCGCGCGATAGCGGACGGCAACGTGTCACGTCGCACATAATATTTGCTGCTGTTGCTGCTTTTGCTGCGGGACTAGAGTCTCATGTATTATACGTACACACACCCACGCAATCACACGCGCTGGCAAACACACACGCATGCACACGTACAAAATTTACATACATATGTCTGCACACACGCACACACGTACACGCATGCAAACACAGATGACACACACACACACACATTGATTTATTTATTTAAATTAATGTAGATGTGTAAATGTGTGCATTAATATGTACATAATTTTTTAACTATAGAAACATATTTATTTATCTTCCAAGAAATTTTTAAGCGGGATGTGTTAGACATAAAGTCGAATTACGCCGATTACGTGCGAATTTAAAACATTTTGTGCTTGTCCATGCATTCGTACTTTTTATTGATTAATATAATTAGACTCTTTAGTTAACTTATTGAACAAATGTATATAAATTTGATCTGAAATATATACAAATAAAAATACGTGAAACAATATTTATCATATGTAAAGAACATGCACAATGCACATGCAAAATACAAGTAAGCGCACCCACGCACGCACGCGCGCGCGCACAGACACACACACACACACACACACACACACATGTATATATATAAATTAGTATACATCAATTATCAAGAAAAACTTTTTATACTGCATATGATTTGTACAATTTTCATACAATGCCTATAATCTTAAAAGTGCTTTAATATTAAAAGTATATTATCACTTATAAAAAAAATTAGATATACGAACAAAATAGAAATAAATGAATTGATATTAAAATTAAGCGATTAGTGCATATGTTAAAATTTTGACCGAAATCTTTTTTGGCGGAGAAAAGGTATTTTGTATTTATTCGTAACACAATACATATACAAATAAACCAACTGATCATATTGAATCTTAATTAATAAATAATGTAATCTATCCATTTTTGGGACCATCCATTTAAAATAAATATTAATAACTATATAAACAATTACGTATTAATCATCATATTATATAAACTTTATACTTTCATTTATGAATATCAACAAAGTTAATGTTTCCAATAATTATAATATGAAAAATAATTGTTGAACTTTATGGATATATGTGGAATGAAGTTAGATTTATGCAAGTTCAATATAAATTGAATTCTCATAATTAAATTTCATGTATTATTGATTCAGCAACTAGTGAATAGAAAATGTCAACAGGTCGATATATGTGTTGTATTTAAAAATAATAAAGTCACTTATGAAATAGGAGAATTAGATCGAATATTAGCGATTTTATGTTTATAACGCCGAAAGCAGTAACAATGATCAGTCGGTTTAATCCACGAAATCTCCCTCTCGTATATCAGAGTAATTACATATATGGGATTAAGGCGATAAATAGATAAATACTGTGGCCATCTAATCGATATAAATTGTTTGAACATACAGAAGTATTTAACTATTTGACAATCACGGCAACATTAAATATAAAAATGACTTTGTTCATACGGTTGATTGTTGTATTTCACATTGTCTTAACAAAAAATTTCAACGCTTCGTTAATATCGCCAGATTCGTAATAAATCCTCAAATGAATATATTGTACAACAAAAATTTCAAATAAATATGAAAATTGTTTTATGATAATATTCTTTTAATTTATTAGCGCATTTAATTACGCATTACCATGGTAGCTATTAAGTAATTATTTTACGTCTTTCCCATACGGACAAGGACGCATACATTTTGTAAAATACTACTGGTATTCTCGAAATTAAATTGAAGATACAAACAACTCCAGAGATTGTCCAAAGGGAAGCAAAACGGTTCTGATATTTGCAAAAAAGCTTTTATCAGAGTATCTACAAGCTTTTTCAATTCAAATAACGTACAGTGATGTGAATTTTTATATACTGACCATGTGATTGTGTTTGTGTGTGTTAGTGCGCGGGCGCGCGCGCTCGTGTGTACACAGATTAAGTAAGTAAAATTTTAAAAACATCACAGCATACGGGAAATTAATTGGTAAGAGAACACATTCTTATCAATACGAATATTAATTAATTTAAATATTTAATTTCAAGAATGATATCGTCTGTATAGATTACTTCTTTTTATACTCACTATCAACATGTCAAAATTAATAGTTTTAATCATTCAAAAAAAAAAGCTTTCAACTTTTTTTTTTCCATTTTAATATAGATTAGTTTATCGTTAAATTATTAG